TGCCCCCATAGCAAGCTGCTTGCTATGGGGGTACTTGTGCGGGCTTAATCCCTAGATTCACTCTGTGCTTCTGTTGACACAAACCGCACGGCTCTGGCCCTCAACGGCTCCCACTGCTGAGTCTTTTGAGAAGGGAGAGAAAGAGCAGAGCTGCTGCACTCAGGCACAGCACTAATCACAGGGTTTTTTACATTAATGCATAGATTGCATGAAGGTTAAGAAACAAAAACAACTTTCTGTCTTAAAGTGTTACTAAACCCACAACAGTGAAATCAGTCTGCGTATGCAGTAAAGCATGCTTGTTATACACATTGTGGACCCTAAGGGGTTAATCCTCTGCATTGTGTAACAAGGCTGTTTTTGAGCCTTTCTTCTCTGCCCCTCCTCTTATTGAAATGACCACCTGATACAGACTGAATCCTTAGTCAAATGCTCAGTTTGGTGTGTATTACTAGAGAGGTTTGGGGTTTTTTTCTTGGGAGAGTGCGTGTGATCAGCACAGGGCCAATTAGCACTGTCCAGAGAGGGTCAGGACTTTCACATCCTCCTAGAGCACAAAAAACGTCTCCTACAAGCTTTAACCAGCGCTCTGCTGAAGTCACAAGACTGCTCTAACTGCTGGTGAGAAAAGGTATTTAGCAGTTTATATTTACTAAAATAATTGAATTTCCATGTTCTGTATACTGTAGGAAACAAGATATAGTGAATGCAGTGGTCCTGGGTTTAGTAACCCTTTAAGAATCACTTCAAATCACACTTCTCCTGCCCAGGACTACATATCCCATGAGTCACTGGTCCTCACACATTCAGTTCCCAGGCACTTACTGACATGTATGGACAATGTAATGAGCGATATGTGTTCTGCACGGTGTATACGCACATGCTGCATACTGATATACTGTGTACTGACAACAAATAAGGCATTATCTATGCAGGCCAACTAATTGATAATGAAAGTTGACAACTATTTTAATTATTTATTATAATCAATTATGTCAACTTATAGTCACATAGTCAGTCTGGCTGAAAAATGACAAAAGTCCATCCAGTTCAACCAACAAAAAAAAAATTATAATCCTATACCCACAGTTGATCCAGGTGAAGGCAAAAAAACCCAGCAAAGCATGGTCCAAATTGCTCCTGCAGGGGAAAAAAAAATTCCTTCCTGATCCCCCGAGAGGCAATCGGATCTTCCCTGGATCAACTTTACCTATAAATGTTAGTATCTAGTTATATTCTGTGTATCGAGGAGACTAGTTGCTTCAGCACTACCATATTCTTACTTCTCCCTGCAGTCTGGACAAAAACATCAATTGCAAATGGTACCAGTACTGTCAATAAACAGGAGTTGCTGACACTAGGATCTCCATCCTGAAAGCACTTGGGACAAAGATTGACTTGGCATTTGGCATTAATGAGGAGTTTTTGCTCGTTTAAGGGCCGGTTCACACCACAATTTCTGCTTTCCAGATGCGATTCTGATGCATACCAATGTGTTTTTTGATGTGTTCCATTCCCTTTTTCCCCCACTTTTTTCTTCATGTCAATTGAGGACGTGCATTTTTGATGCATTTTGCCATGTTCCAGATGTGTTCCATACATAAGGAAATGCAACAGGTTCTACTTTTGTTGACTGTACTGGAATGCACTGCACTGGTGTTAACTAGCGCCATTGGAATCCATGGTAAACACTTTCCATGTGTTTTTCATGCAGAATAAAAATGCACTGAACTGCATCAAATGTGAACCAGCCCTTAGTAGGAAAAACTACTTGTTTTACCAACAAAAGAGATACTCGTCAAAACTGAGTTCTGATAGTACACAACACTTTCATGTCACTACACTTGGATTCTTTAATTTGTATGCCAACTCCTAAGCATGGGGAATCAACCAGTGGTCCTGTCACAATCATTTAGCCTTGGAATGGATACAGCAATGGCCAGAAGCAGCTAATCACAGCTGCTCAATTATGCAAATTCCAACCAGAGCTTGCATGGTGGTCATTGTGATGGTAATGTGACTGGACACCTCAAAAGGCTGTGTGAAAGGGAAAGGCCGCCATGTTGTTCAGAATTCCTAAGTCAGCCATGACAGCTTGTAACAATAGCAGTGATCCCCCTTTACTTTATCTCAGGAAAGCATTTCATGTAATCAAATTTTAGCTGCATTCCAAACACCCTTATAAGTACTTTGATAGGATTAGCAGAATCTAATTCAATCCTCAGTCTCCGGGTCTGTCAGTCTTTCAGGCTTGAGTAACTAGTAGCTTATTATGCTACTAAACCCAGGACCCTGCATTGACTTTATCTGATCTCCCACAGTACACACAATATGCAAATACAATTATTTTAGTAAATTTAAATGATAAATACCTTTTTTCATCAGCAGTTAGAGCAGTCTTGTGACTTTTATCAGTGTCCTGCTGAACACTGGTTAAAGCTTGTCAGAGGAGTTTTCATTCTGCTCTGACTGTCCTATGAGGCTGCATAACCCTGACCCTTTGTCTGGACAGTGCTGATTGGCCCTGTGCCAAAAACACACCAAACTGAACATGTGAAGCTTGCGCCCAAGGCTCTGTTTTATCAGCAGATGGATTGGGGAAAATAGAAGGGGGGATCAGAGAAGACAGTATCAAACAGCCTTTTTACACAGTGGAGAGGACTAACCTCTAAAATTCCACAGTGAGTATAACAAGCATACTTTACTGCATATACAGACTGATTTTACTGTTGTGGGTTTAGTAACACTTTAACAGGTATCCCTCTTCCTAATAGCAGTTTTTTTCTGCTGGAACTTCGCGGACCGCCACCTCCGGGACTGGTAACTTGCTCCCTGATGGCCATTGTCACTTGTAGATATAGGAGAGTTGCTTTTGTATGTATGTGACAGCGCATCTCTCTCGGCATTGCACATCACTATATGAGAGCAGAAGGGGGAGGGGGCTGGGAATCTAAACAGCTTCTGTTAGTTTCACAGCAGAAGTTTTACCTGAAGCCTGGTATACCTGAGGAAGTCACGTGCTATTAACCGTGACGTAACGCGTAGATACGCCAGTGGGAGGAGCCTAACGGACCGCGCGGCGACGTCAGTTCCGGCGTCGGCGCCATCTTGGTCCACCTTTTTTCCTAGTGAGGATCCACACAAGCTAGTACACCCATGGTGTGGTGTAAATGCCTATGTCTAACCACACAAATGTGAGTAATATTATCAGTGTGGCATCATTAAAGGTGTTGCAGTTTTACACTATGTGGATCTCTTTCTTTGTCTTATGTGGGGTGTTTATGGAGTAAGAGCGTATTAATTATCTGGAGGCACCTAGTGGAAATTAGTACCCACCAGAGGAGGAAGTACCACCACCATTGCTGAAGAGACCCCCAAGGTGTTGTGGGAGGATCACCTAAGAGGCAATTGTCTGGCTCATTGGTCCTGTGGGGCCTGGGCAGGAAGGTGAGGGGGCACCCCTGTCATTGTGGATTCACGCTTGAAGCTGGGAGCACCTGCATGATTTTTTGTGTGTGTGTGTGTGTGTCTCACATTACAAGACGGACTTATATTACTGGGAAGACTCACAGCACTTGTGCCATTTTCTATTTAAGGATGTGGATAGGGCAATTATAGCGCTGCACTGTTTATATATTTTACTTTTTACCTGAAGCCCGCCAGCAGCCTGCACTGTCCAGTCTCCTACTGTAAGTTGTAGCTGCCCCTCCCTCTGCTGCTTTCTAGGCTGGTGGGAGAGGATTTGGGGTAGGAAGAGAGCTCTCTAATGGATGGATGGAACAGGGTTCTATATGAGAGAATTTGGGGGAGAGCTTTGTACTGGGGGGACTTGGGGGTACACGGCGCATCCGTCGCATCCGTCGACCCCGCACACCCCTCAACCCCACACCCCGCAACCCTGCACGCAGCGCACCCCTCAACCCTGCACCCTGTACGCAGCGCACCCCTCAACCCTGCACCCTGTACGCAGCGCACCCCTCAACCCCTCTGTATATAGCACAATCCTAAACCATCTCCAATCCTGCACTCTCTGCATTTAAGTGCACACCCTAATTCTGCACTCTGGTATGTAAAAATGTCCCACTATTAGTGCAATTTGGCCACAGCCACAATTTGATGCAGAGGGCCAGCTGTGCCGCACCCCCTCCCCTCCCCTCCCGCAAACCTGCACTTTTTCTCTGAGTAAAAAAAGCCGTGTGTGTGTGTGTACAGTACACTATATTGCCAAAAGTATTGGGACAGCCCTCCAAATCATTGGATTCAGATGTTCCCCCACCTCCATGGCCAAAGGTGTATAAAATCAAGTACTTAGGCATGCAGACTGCTTCTACAAACATTTTGGGAACAAATAGGACTCTCTCAGGAGCTCAGTGAATTCAAGCGTGGTACCGTGATAGGTTGCCACCTGAGCCATTCCATCCATGAAATTTCCTTGCTGCTAAATATTCCACGGTCAACTGTTTGTGCTATTCTAATAAAGTAGAAGCAACTGAAAACAACAGCAACTCAGCCACGAAGTGGTAGGCCACGTAAAATGAAAGAGCGGGGTCAGACCATGCTGAACCGCACAGTACACAGAAGTTGCCAACTGTCTGCATAATCAATAGCAAAAGAACTCCGAACTTCGTGTGGCCTAAGCACAACAGTGCATAGAGAGCTCCATGGAGTGGGTTTCCATGGCCGAGCTGCTGCATCCAAGCCTTGCATCACCAAGTGCAATGCAAAGTGTCGAATGCAGTGGTGTAAAGCACACTGCCACTGGACTCTAGAGCAGTGGAGATGTGTTCTCTGGATTGACGAATCACGCTTCTGTCAGGCAATCCAATAGACGTGTCTGGGTTTGGCAATTGCCAGGAGAATAGTATTTGCCTGACTGCATTGTGCCAAGTGTAAAGTTTGGTGGAGGGGAGATAATGGTGTGGGATTGTTTTCAGGGGTTGGGCTTGGCCCCTTATTTCCAGTGAAGGGAACTTTTAAGGGGTCAACATACCAAGACATTTTGGACAATTTCATTCTAAATATAATATATATATATATATATATATATATATATATATATATATATATATATATATATATATATATATATATATATACAGTGGGGATCGAAAGTTTGGGCACCCCAGCTAAAAATTTGTATTAATGTGCATAAAGAAGCCAAGGAAAGATGGAAAAATCTCCAAAAGGCATCAAATTACAGATTAGACATTCTTATAATATGTCACAAAAGTTAGATTTTATTTCCATCATTTACACTTTCAAAGTAACAGTAAACAAAAAAAGGCGTCTACAAAAGTTTGGGCACCCTGCAGAATTTATAGCATGCACTGCCCCCTTTGCAAAGCTGAGACCTGCCAGTGTCATGGATTGTTCTCAATCATCGTCTGGGAAGACCAGATGATGTCAATCTCAAAGGTTTTAAATGCCCAGACTCATCTGACCTTGCCCCAACAATCAGCACCATGGGTTCTTCTAAGCAGTTGTCTAGAAAACTGAAAATAGTTGATGCTCACAAAGCTGGAGAAGGCTATAAGAGGATAGCAAAGCATTTTCAGATGTCAATATCCTCTGTTCGTAATGTAATTAAGAAATGGCAGTCATCAGGAACAGTGGAAGTTAAAGCAAGATCTGGAAGACCAAGAAAAATATCAGACAGAACAGCTCGCAGGATTGTGAGAAAAACAATTCAAAACCCACGTTTGACTGCACGATCCCTCCAGAAAGATCTGGCAGACACTGGAGTTGTGGTACACTATTCCACTATAAAGAGATACTTGTACAAATATGGTCTTCATGGAAGAGTCATCAGAAGAAAACCTCTTCTACATCCTCACTACAAAAATCATCGTTTGAACTTTGCAAATGAACATATAGACAAGCCTGATGCATTTTGGAAACAAGTTCTGTGGACCGATGAGGTTAAAATTGAATTTTTGGCCGGAATGAGCAAAGGTACGTTTGGAGAAGAAGGGGCATAGAATTTAATGAAAAGAACCTCTGTCCAACTGTTAAGCATGGGGTTGGATCAATCATGCTTCAGGGTTGTGTTGCAGCCAGTGGCACAGGGAACATCTCACGAGTAGAAGGAAAAATGGATTCAATAAAATTTCAGCAAATTTTGGATGGTAACTTGATGCCATCTGTGAAAAAGCTGAAAAAGTTAAAGAGAGGATGGCTTCTACAAATGGATAATGATCCTAAACACACCTCGAAATCCACGGGGGATTACATCAAGAGGCGTAAACTGAAGGTTTTGCCATGGCCTTCACAATCTCCTGACCTCAACATAATTGAAAATCTATGGATAGACCTTAAAAGAGCAGTGCGTGACAGACAGCCCAGAAATCTCAAAGAACTGGAAGACTTTTGTAAGGAAGAATGGGCAAAGATACCTCAAACAAGAATTGAAAGACTCTTGGCTGGCTACAAAAAGCGTTTACAAGCTGTGATACTTGCCAAAGGGGGCAGTACAAGATATTAACTCTGCAGGGTGCCCAAACTTTTGCAGACGTCATTTTTTGTTTTCTGTTATTTTGAAAGTGTAAATGATGGAAATAAAATCTAACTTTTGTTGACATATTATAAGAATGTCTAATCTGTAATTTGATGCCTTTTGGAGATTTTTCCATCTTTCCTTGGCTTCTTTATGCACATTAATACACATTTTTTGCTGGGGTGCCCAAACTTACAATCTCCGCTGTATCTAAATATATATTTTTTAGATACATACCAGAGTAGTTGTAGTAGGTATTTACAGGGATGTGACATGTAGTTCCGTGCGCCGGGCAGGTAGTTTCCTTTAGACATTTAGCCCTGCTGAGGGCAAGCAGCAGGACTTACTTGACAGGTGGCTGCCTGATTGTTTCCACACACTGTGCTAAAGTGCCAACCCCCCATGAACTCACCTGCTCTGTACCCCGGGCTCCGCTTGCCCATCTGCCCCAGGGTGCCAGCTGGTAGAGGGGAAAGAGGAGAGCGTCCACTCTTCTCCCCTTCTTGTCCTGACCTGGAAGTTACATGTATGATGTCAATTCCAGGTCACTGTTGACAACGTTCCCGGCCATCAAAGCTGGGAAAGAATGTAATGCAGTGCAAAAAAAAGTTAAGAAAAAAAAAAATTTTTTTAATTGTAAAAAAATTACAAAAATTTACACCCAAACACAACTCCTGCCAATCAAAATACATTTTGAGGCCCCCCATATATACGCACAAACACGTCAGGGTGCCTATGTGTGAAAGATCAATTGCGACACACATTACATATTGCTGCACACGCCAGAATGAGAGCAATAATTCTAGCACCATACCAACGCTGTAATGCTAAACCGATGTCCTAGAGGAGGCTTTAAAAGTGTCGCCTATAGTGGGGGGCGTGTCCAAGATGGCGACCAAAGCAGCTCCGTCGCCTGCCATCACAATCTGCTGTCATTCTGGTGGCAGCGGATTGATTAGGAGCACCGGGGGTCCTTCTGCCTCTTTTTATCAGCCCCTCTCCGGAGAATCGCGGCCTCAAGGCCTACTGCAGCCTCGGTCTTTCCTGGCGCCGGAGTTCGGCTCCCAGCCCCGCCTGGTGTACTGGTGGTCAGATGAGGCTCTTGCAGACTGCCTGGTCCCCCATTTGACCTATTTGGATGAAACCTGGGAGCTCCATCTAGGGTGATACAGCCCCCACGATGTCCGGGGCCTACTTCCAGCTGTGACCACCAGGGCCTACTACGGCCACAGATACACCTGGGGGTGGGAGTCCTGGTGACCCACAACCCTCCCACAGGACTCTGGCACTGGGGTCAGGATATTGGCGGCTCCTTTGTCCTCTCCTACACTGTGGCAGGAGCTGATTCTTTTCTAGAGCCCACAATTGAGCTGATAGGGCTCCCTACACACCCTCCGGTGGGATCTTAATTCAGCACCCAGAGGATTCCATACAATACTGACTCTTGTGCCCTATCTGACCCTAAGATAGGGGTTGGTGCCTGCATCTAGATCTCTGGCCTTTACTGAGAATATCTACCACAACTTATATACACTCCCCCGCTCCAAATGTTGATAATTTTTACAATATATAGTTTATGTGGAGACATCTGATCGCACCTATGTGCCTATAACCATACACCTGCACCGAGCTCTATATGTCCCTTGGTGTTATCATCATCTTTGACTACACATATTTCAGTTGATCACCAGGAGACTTCCTATATGCCGTCCACCAAGAAGAAAAGGGTAATGCTCAAAAATTCCTTACAACGTATTTACTGAAGACGCACAAGTTTTGCAACATGTCTCAAGATAATGCAGACCGAGCATCCCCATCGGGTCTCACGCAGGACACCGCAGCACACCCATCAGCTCAGGATAGTGAGTATGCACACCAAATTACAAAGGGGGACGTGGAATCTTGTTTGGAGACTGTGTACACCAAGTTAGCCGCTAAATTCCAATCACAACTCCACAAGAGCACAAACGTCTTCTCTCAGGAAATAGCTGCACTGGGCTCCAGAACTGACCGTTTAGAAACAAAAACATGATGAGCTCAGCTTAGCTTATGGTGAGCTCTCCAGAGATCACGATCATCTACAAACGGCCTTTACGAAGTTGCAGGAACAGGTTGAGGATCTTGACAATCGCAACCGTAGGAATAATCTGCGAGTTTGGGGAGTTCCAGAGACTGTGACTGACCTTTCACAAGCCACAACCAAAGTATTCCAGTCTCTCCTTCCGGACCATGATCCTAGATCCTTTGCTTGGGACCGCATCCATAGAGCTGTGTCCAAAACTTCCTAATGATAAATAACCTTGGGAGATTGTTCGATGTATGAAAGATTTCCTGACCGAAGAAGACATACTCAGGGCTGCTCATAATGCCCCAACGATCACTTTTGAAGGTTCAACTTTGCAAATATTTCCGGATGTATATCCGGGTAAGTTGGATAAACACATAAAACTGAAAGAAATCACATCTGCCCTATTCTCAGCTCGTATCCGCTATAAATGGGGCTTTCCCTTTAAGCTGATAGTTCCCCACAATAGTAGCACATACATCTCTTCCCGAAGGCTGAGAAATCCTGGCTAAATTAGGCCTGGCGGATGCTCCCTTAACTCAACATCCGCATTCCACTCCCCGGGTATCTCCCATTTGGCATACTCCATCTCCACGAAGGGAAAGGAGGAGAGTCAGACAAGATCCAGGATGAAAGGGTTTTGCTCACTTGTATATTATTATTATTATACAGTATTTATAAAGCGCCGATAGTTCACTCAGCGCTATACATTACAAAGGGGGACAGAACATGTGACAGAACAATACCAATGCAATGCAAAACATGAGGGGATCGAGGGCCCTGCTCTTTCGAGCTTACAATCTAGAAGGTTATACACTGTTTTGATAGTCCCTTGAGAGATGCTGCAAACTTTATATATTCATATGTCTGTTACTCTTGATTTAATCTGGAATTACCAAGATGTGCAAAAGTTTTTGGACCCTCACTTTACCGCCCATATGCTAATGTTATAGGACTCTTTGATGCGTAACCACACCCTGTTACCTAGCATGGCCGGTGATGTCACTGCCCAGACGTGGAGTGACCGCTCCACCTCCCTTGTTTTAAGGTGGCCGGGTTTGGGCCCGGTTTGCCTTTTGATGTTAAGTTTTTCTGTCTTTTCAGGGACAGGCAGCTGGCCTTCTAGATCCATGGTTTATTATGATTTATTTAATTATAGGGGCTCTTAAGGCCCCAATTCTATTGCTTTATGTTTTTTTGACAATTTTGGTACATGATGTTGTTCATATACAATTTTGTGTACGTTCCGGCCACCACATTGGGACTTGGATGCTCCATAAAATAATACTGACAGATTTCACCTTATACGATGTAGATACGGGTGTTTCACTAACTAGACAAACTATTTTTGATACTTGCCAGATGGGTACAATAATGCTGACTGATACTATCTTTTTTTGCCATGGTTATCCATTGCATCTCACACAATGTCCACGGTTTTAACTCTCCAAATAAGCATAAAACTGCCTTCCTTCAGTATAAATACCTA